ACCATTTATTAAAGTATCTGTATTTCATATAAAACACAGCCAGAGATTGACATTTTGTATCAATTCATTGTACAAAGACTATTTTCTGCAAACATGGGATGACATTCTATAGCAAAAAATATGGAGCCTGTTATAAATAAATCAGTCTCATTGCTGATTAGAAGATATATATATAAAATTGAGTGAAGAACATTGTACTTAACTGAAGATATGCCAAGTACATCCATCACTATAAAACAATAAACTCCTTCAGTATTCTCGGTAAATTAAAACAAGAGATTTGCAATATAAGAAATTCAGACACATTTTTCTGAATAAATAATTCAAATTAACAACATAAAAATTGTTTGACAGCTAACATAATGACTTCAAAAAGACGCTTACAAATCCGTTCACTGCCTTTTCATCCGCAATTATTTTTATGGGATCAGAAATTTTAGCAATGACGTGGACTCTGTATTGATGCCAAGCGACTTGAAGACATCATGAGCTTGGAAGGGACTAGTCGACCATTTCCGCACCTCCAGGGACAAGCTGAAATGAAGAGAGAAAGATATTGACATATAATATAAAAAAGGGAGAAAAAATTAATAATAAAAAATAAAAAAAATAAATAAAAAGAGAAAAAAAAGAAAAGAAAAGAAAAAGAAGAAAAGAAAGAAAAAAAGAAAGAAAGAAAGAAAGAAAAAGAAATGAAAGAAAGAAGGAAAGGAAAAAGAAGAAAAGAAAGAAAGAAAGAGGGAAAAGAAAAAGAAGAAAAAGAAGAAAGAAAGAAAGCAAAGAGGGAAAAGAAAAAAAAAAAAAAAAAATCAAACAATTTGATATTCAAACTGCTTGCTGAAAGGAATTATGTTAAAATATAGGAATATTACTATAAGCTATGGGTAATATAATATAATATAAATGTAATATTTTAGTCATGAAATTAAAAATCAGATATTCCTACACAAATTCAAAAACTTCTTTGTTTTCTTATTTGAGAAAATTTGTTGAAACCATTTACAAATCTCATCAAATTACTTATGTTGCTAATTCTGATGAGAAAAAAAAAAAAATTCAAACAATTTGATATTCAAACTGCTTGCTGAAAGGAATTATGTTAAAATATAGGAATATTACTATAAGCTATGGGTAATATAATATAATATAAATGTAATATTTTAGTCATGAAATTAAAAATCAGATATTCCTACACAAATTCAAAAACTTCTTTGTTTTCTTATTTGAGAAAATTTGTTGAAACCATTTACAAATCTCATCAAATTACTTATGTTGCTAATTCTGATGAGAAAAAAAAAAAAATTCAAACAATTTGATATTCAAACTGCTTGCTGAAAGGAATTATGTTAAAATATAGGAATATTACTATAAGCTATGGGTAATATAATATAATATAAATGTAATATTTTAGTCATGAAATTAAAAATCAGATATTCCTACACAAATTCAAAAACTTCTTTGTTTTCTTATTTGAGAAAATTTGTTGAAACCATTTACAAATCTCATCAAATTACTTATGTTGCTAATTCTGATGTGAAAAAAAAAAAAATTCAAACAATTTGATATTCAAACTGCTTGCTGAAAGGAATTATGTTAAAATATAGGAATATTACTATAAGCTATGGGTAATATAATATAAATATAAATGTAATATTTTAGTCATGAAATTAAAAATCAGATATTCCTACACAAATTCAAAAACTTCTTTGTTTTCTTATTTGAGAAAATTTGTTGAAACCATTTACAAATCTCATCAAATTACTTATGTTGCTAATTCTGATGTGAAAAAAAAAAAAATCACAACACCAATATGATATATTAGAAATATACAAAAATAACAATCAATACAAAGGAATAATAAAAACAAAACAAGTTAATAAAATTTGGTATTAGGGAACAATAAACCACAAACTGTAATTTCAGTATCTGGCTAGAATGAAGGGATTAAAGAATTACATTACTGGTGTTTTATTCCATACCCAATTTGTATATGGGCCCAGGGAATAGTTATAATAATTCCATTTAATTCATAAATCTACAATATTTGAGGAACGAATAAACCAAAACTGAAGTTGCTTTCCTCAATCAGATGCCAAACTAACTCAACAAATTCATTTTCATAGCTAATTACCATTTCTATGATCTCAGTACAATTTTGTTATTCCATGCTAAATCAATATGGAGGTTAATATTGAGATAACTTTTACACTAATGCCTATGAAAAATATCAGGGAAAGCAACAGCACCAAACCTTCAGGCACCAATGAGGCAAAGACACCTAGACAATTAAACTATTCTACACCCTGGTTTCCTCTATATGACTGATTCTGTGAGACAACAATGATTACTAGAGTCCATTCACTATTTCCTTATGAGCATTATATTCCAATGCTCCAATTTCAGGCTATTTAGGACTCACGAAACTTGAAAAAAAATGACTTATGGCATCTGGTATGGGTGGGTTGAGAGAGGTGTGGGATATAAGAATGATTGAGGGGATGGCAGTGGGGTAATGTATGCGAGTTATGATATTTGCTGATTATAAATTATACAACTCATAAGATGATTTTAGTTATCGGCATCTGCCTTGCCCATTAATATAGTTTCACTGTGATACATTATTTGTTGTGTAACTGGTTAACACGTCCTACTAGAGTTGAAAGTTGTGAACCTATAGATAGAAAAAAAGAGAGAGGACTCGGGCTTGCTGTGGGTAAATGTATGACCTAACACAAGCCAGCACATTCCCAAAGCAGTATCCATCACTCATTGACTAATTTCATCAGTGGAGGCAGAAAACTTTTTGGTGATGGAATTTACTTATCCATTATACATTAATCTGCTTTTCATCATGTCCTTTTGAGATAATTAACATTAAAAAGGAGACACATTCATGATGTGTTTAAATTGTCTAGGACAACAGCCCCAATTATATTGCCTGTATTATGACACAGTGGTTTAGATATCCTGAAATTCAAGTAACAGACTGGGCAAGGAAGGGCTGGGAAAGTCTATGAGTGATTATGAAACAAGAAATCATTATTGGATCATGATGGAACTAATAATACCGCCAATAATACCCAATGCCAACATCATTTGTCTTCTGTAACTATAATATAGCTTTCAGAATGTGTGATGAACAACACACACACTATGCTATGCTATATTGCGTAACTATGTTATATGTGAATGATCTGCACAAAATGTTTAAACAAGCACAACTTGTTAAAGACAATGATTTTTCCTCAAGAACTGAAAGCTGAATTAATTAGCTATAATTTGATACACAAATTTATCTTCTGAGTGCCATTTGAGCACTATACTATTCTGATATGATCATCAAAAATATTCCTTGTTACTCCTGTAAAGCTGTTGCCTCTGGAACAAAGAAATGCTCATTATTTCTACTTAATCATGCCCAATGTGAGTTTATATCATTAAATGTGTTAAAGCATAGATGGCACTACAAGTCACCTAGATGGCTCTACAAGTATTTAGTCATAAATGAGTCAATTACTTGTCCTACCCGTCTCAGCTGCTAATCCTTTTCTTTGAGATTTGGATTTTTTTCAGTTAATATTGCTAATAACATTATAGGAACTATACTGTAAATAATGATAACAACATCAATATAAGCAGCATTGGTAAAAGCAAAAACATCAACAATAACCCAAGTAAAGAGGATATCAACTGATCTAATGTAGGTTTACTGACTCCTTTGTGGCTAAGCACCTACGAAGCCACCCTATGTGTAAAGACACTTCACAAAGCAAAACAGCATTACATGTTCCCAGGAGCACTGGGTTAAAATACATGTAAGATCTATATAAACTGGAAAACTGGATAAAATTTTGGAAAATATATGTAAATGATTGATACAGCACATAAATAACAAAACTGTGGACAAACTATGGACAAAACTTCACCAACAATAATAAGCAAACGTCATCAAACACACACAGTACCCCTACCTCAATACCAATCCCCGCTCCCAACCTTACCATATGAGTTGCCACAAGTAATTTTCTTTTACATGTACTGGGTCCAGAGACACTTGGTCAAATGACACTGCTCTGCTACTCAAATGCTATACATTATGATAAGTCTGATTCTATACTTGTCTAACTACTAAACCTTCTTGGATTGAGGATTAAAAGGTCAAATGTGTGCAAGTGGGCACCATCAGACTATAGGAGTATGGATATCAGTATTTTTAGGTCATTACAGACCAGACCAGACTTCTCTAAAGATGAGGAAGAGGAAATGGAAGAGGAAGAGGAGGATAGATGAAAAGAAGATGAATAAGATGGTGATAAAGAAAAGACAAAAAAGAAAAAAGAAAAGCAAGGAAAAACTGTGAATTTCCATGAAAATTACACAAATTGCCCTCCTATATCAAAATGACCCACCAGGACATGGATTTCATATTCAATTCACTGGGTTTGGCCCACTACCTAGACACTAATGCAACATTTTGCCTATTGGATAAAAACCTGGTATCAGTAGTTTGTAAATAGGATTTTTTTCCCTTTAAAAAATAAATGGCATATCATTTGAAAACTATGTGACAGAGTTTAGAGGATACTGGCAGAAAAATTACACAATAAAATATGTTTTGCAGTCAAGTGAATAGGTCTGCACTACTGCCAATCTATTCATGAAGTTTAATGGTTATTAAAAATCTATTAAAAAAATGTTATATCAAAGATTTTTTTTTATATACATAAAATAAATATGGATCTTTTACAAAAAGGAAATAAGAGCCTAACAGTTGAATAGAAAACGGATTCTTTTCTAAATATACTGCATTTTTTTTTTTTGGCTAGAGACTTTTAGTTTCTTTTCTTGAAGTGAGATGCTATAGAGACCTTATTTTCAAATCTGATCTTGAGTATAAACCTGAAAAAGTTAAGTCTTTTTGCTGCTTATACGAATTTTGCAATGAAACATAGGTAAAATGGAAAAAAAGAACTCTATAGCTATGTTACCAGATGACTAGT